TACTTCGCAAAGCGCATCCGCTGCATCCTCGAGCGTTATAGAGAAATCAGCACAGTCTGTGGTATTACTGTTCTCGTTGTGATTGATTATCTTGTTGACCTGATTTACGATCAATTCATAGCTGAGGATCACAGAGTCGGCTTCTATGGGCGGTAGATAAGGTTCCCCGGTACTGCGCCATGTCTTGTACTCAGTTACTGCTTGGTTGGCTTTGTCGGATATACCGTTGAGTGTTGACTTTGTTGTGAGGCAAATGTTATCGTTGTTGGTCTGACCCCTTTCGTTTGCCTTGGATACAAGCTGTGTGACGATGGTGCTGTAGACAGACGATGGTATGTCAGCGTTCTCCAGGAGCAACATGGCGAAGTTTTGGCTGTCCTTATCTGTGGAAGAGCTACTGCAGTAGTTGAGATATTTAAGTGCTAACCCTTGAAAACGCCTTGCAAACAGTGCAGCCGGCTCTGCGGATTTGCGTTTACAGGAGTAAACATCGCGCATCATCTGTACGAGTCTACGGATACTATCTTTTGCTGAATCTTTGGCCACAATCTGGATGATGGCTTCCACTGCGCGTTTCTGGACTTGCTTGGGATCTTCGTTTCTGTCCGGCTTTAACATCAGGATACCAGCGGCGATTGCACGGTCGAGTTTTGAGCGGAAGGCTTCATCAACGGCGTGGTAAAGGGTGATGCCGAGAGCACTCATCATACCCTTTGACCTTGTGTCACCACCATCAGCGTAGAGCTCAACGGAGGTGGTCCACAGGCGGACTTCAGTGCGCCATTTGAGTTTGTCGGTTGTGGCAGTCAACCTCGGAGCTATGAGGATGCGGTTGTTCGGAGTGGAATTTCCACCTGGGCCCATAACTATCGCAGCCGCGTCTCCCATGTTAGAGGGGAGGGGGCTACAAGATGCTGGTGGAATCCCTACTCTACGAAGTCGTTAATGAGCACGCTGTGCTCCGGGCGACGCAGTCGTCCCGTCTCTCTCTCTGTACTTCGATGCCCCTTTTGCTTAGCTACCTACAGTCTGCTTGCTTATGTAGTGTCACCGCGTTGCTCGCTACCCGCTAGTGTTGCTCACATCTCTAACCGTTACTGACAGTACTTGCTTGCTGAACTAAAAGCTAATGGTCGCTTAATGCTAAGGCGCTGAGTGTAGCTCCTGCGCGATGCTTCAAAGTCGCTGACTTCGTCCCTCTTCTGCTTTGCATTGTTTTGCGGTACCGTGCCCGTTCGTTATTCGTGTCCGTTCGTTATCCGTGTCCGTGGCAATCGATGCTCGCAGAAATCTATGCATTGTGTCCGACGTGTAATCGGTGGCCTTCACACTTGTCACACTCCCCCCAGTCGCCTTCGTGTAGTTGGCACGAGAATGGAGGCGACTCGATGGCCAGAATAGCGAGTGGCTGTAATTACTATCAGCCAACCGAGCGTACCTCACCTCGCAGTCTCGCTGCTCCGTGGTACTTATGGCGCCATCGTGAGCCTCTTGCCAGCCCCCCTCTCCTGGCCATGTCTATTTCTCTTGCCTGCCCAGCCCCGGCTGCGCCGCCCTCTTGGTAGTTTCCTTTCTCATCATGTCTTTTTCTCTCTTTATGTTTTCTTTATGTTTTCCAGTTCGGTTTAATAGTTTGCGTAGCCTTTGTGTGTCCCCTCTTAACCGATGTCTCGTGACCGACTAGAACCAATAAACTACGAATATCTTCATCTGTAGGTTATTTTTGAACCTATATTATTTAGGGGGTTGTTCATAAATAGGCAGGACCAGATTAATTTTTCAGTTCAATATTAGGCGAGATAGGATTACAGCCCAATGTAATTTATTGTCTCTACTCGATTGGCTGACCATTGAAGTGATTGCCGTGCTTTGCAATAATGGCCTGTAGGTTCGAAAACAGTTGTTTCTCTTCCCAGACGCCGTTGACATTCATCGCCATTCCAGTTCGTCTCATTGCCTTACGCGCGTACGACAATCCATTCTTGTCTCTCTGCGCATTGACGTCCCGAACCGCATCTGATGCCAACTTCAAGAAAAACCACTTCCCGGGGGTTTTGAGCTTTCCGCTCGCACCCTCTTTGCTCCCCATCCACTCGCCCCTCATCAAACCAACCTTATATTCGTCCCACCGCTTTCTCCATGCATCCTTAATTTTAGAGATAACAAACGAATCGGCAGGCTGCACCAAGTCAGTCGTATTTGCAGGCAACTTGCGTAATTCTGTATTGATTTCGAGCAAGAGCCTTAAAACTGCGTTCGTATCATTATGACCGGAACAGTTGTCCACATATAAAATTCGCTTTCTGCCGAAATTATCCTTCTTAATCGCCCTCGGTTCCGACAGCCACGCCTGAAACACTCTGTTGTCCATCCACCCCTTCCTTCCAGACCGATAGAAGACGCCAGGTACGTCGTCTTCAACACCTCTAATAGGGTACGAGGAGTTTGGATTTTGAAACACCAGCATAGGTGGCTCCATTCTTGCCTGCACCCCACCTGAGATTCGAACCATCATGGTAATACCCTCGTCGCCAGAGACGACATCCGAATATTTAATTTTCTCATCGCCACGAAAGGCAGCTGTCCTGCCATTTTCCATGTTAAATACAAAGTGTGTCTCGTCTGCATTCTCTACTAGACCTTCATTTAGATCGCCGAACTCGAAACCTCTCTTCAATGTCCCCAGGTGGAAGGCAACTGTTTTTTCAATAAACAGTTGCTTTTCGGAGCTAACGGCAAGACTGCCCGCCTGAAGACGAATCACAAGTCCTTGCACATCCATAAATGTCTGCACCCAACGAATCGTTATCTCGTCGACAACGGGTTTACCGTCAATTAAATTTGAAGATGCAAACAAGAAGTCACTCTCTGCATTGTGTATCAAATATTTTGCCGCACAAGCCAGGAAAGAAGGGCTTAGTTTAACATTCAGCGCGTGCAATCGATCAAATTCTCCCCGAAGTGCAGAGTATAAAGCTACGACCCACGCAGCTTTTTTGCGTCCTCTCCCAGACATTACTTTAAAGTTTACCCTTTTGAGACCGTAGCGTGTAAGGGCTGATAAATTCCCAAGGCACCTTCCCGACTCTGACAGTTCCATTAACTTCTCTCTATTCTTCCACCAGTGGACGGCTTTAGCATGATTGGCTTCGTAAGAGCCCATAAATAGATGGGAAAATTTGCGAATGGCCTTAGGCGCGAGCCTCTTCTCTCCATGTTTGTCCACCTCGTCCACCATCCACTTAAGTACCGAGCGGCGCTGTGCTATCGTAGAAACAGAATGCAGTTTGCGGCTGTTGACCACAATTGAAGGGAAATCTGGGGTTGTCGAAGGTTGCAGCGCTGGTTCAGAGAGCGGTGCGCGCTGGAGATTTGGGACTCGAGTTGCAGACCTCTGCTGTATTGCAGCGGCCAGAGCTCGTTCAATGGGTCCAGTGGTCGGCATTTTGGGCTGATAATAGTTGGAACAATGGTGGACGGGAATGGGAAATGTCAGAATCTCGTGCCTGCACTCTTTGCGATACGCTGACGAGACTGTGGTTCATGGCAGATCCGCACATCGATTTTTGTATTTTTAGAGAAATGCCCCGCGCCGGCGCCAAGCGATATGATAAGAAGAGCGCCGAGATACAAAACCGCAATTAATCTGGACCAGTTTATTTTCGAATCCAGAGTATATAGAAATCCAAATTAAATACAGTGATTAGTGTAGTGTCTGCAGTGTTTGATCTTGTAATGTTCTACCTCTAAAAAGTTTAATTGCAATTAGCGAAATCTTGGTGCATAAACCCTCTAATAGCGTCTCAAAGAAAGTCGAGATAGCAGCCTTGAATATCCAGAAAGATTAAGAATGACATGCGGATTGAATAACCAGTTCCTTTTTTTAAACGGGCGTTTTTGGTTTCGAAGTTATTATATATGCGGTTTGAAGGTGGTTTAAGAAAGCTTCTTTTCAAGACATATCTAAAAACAACTAGGAAGAACATGCAGTTCTTATCAATTTCTTTCTGGTCCCGAGGCAGAAGTCAGGTATGTTGGCGGGGGTATCTTTTTCGTTCTTGTCGAGAAAGCGTAAGTCAAGAAAAAAATATGTCGAAAAGTGCCCTCATTCAATGAGAACAATGGTTAGATATGCCCCCGCTTGACGAGAAAGCCCCACAACCTGTTACATGAGCTCACGCAGGGATTGGAACGATAGCCACCCTCCTGCACCAAAAAAATTAACTTTGTCAATATCGACGTGTACACAGATTTCTTGCTACAGTATAGAATCATGTTGTTCGGTACCACATTGCATCTACTGAACAGAAAGAAAACTTGGACAGTTCAATGAGTATCTGCAAAATTATCAAGAGCAAAAGTAATGTGGAGATGCTGAATGTTGAAACGCATTTGAAGTGAGATGCGGGATGCTTGGCGCGCTCCAGATTTGAAAATATGATACAGAATGGTAGAGAAGATACGTACTACTTGAAATTTTCCCTACTCTGGCCAGAAGCAGATGGATCATTGATCCGGGCTCTCCTGTAAATGGCAAAGAAAGAAAACAAAAGTATCTCAACTCAGCTTCCTTCTGTGTTCCACAGAGGCATTCTCAGACACTACCAGAATTCCTTCCAAGCAGGAAAAGGAATGTTCACAAAATATCCGCTTGAGATAAATACTCCTGCCTTTGAAGGAAGAATCGAATATGGAGTCTTCAACGCGCACCATACGTAGAACTACTGTATTTGCGCACTGTTGATTAGAAGTGGCCGTTAACGCAACTATAAACCATCTTTCTGAACTTTTCCTATGACGTTCCGTTTTTGCATGTTACACATATGTCGCCTTTGTCGTCAAAATTCTTAAGTGCCCACTCCCTGTGCAAAATTGTTCAAGCCTTTCACCCCATACTTTCGAAGGACATGGAGATGAAATACTTAAGGTGATAGCATCGAAGAATCTAACCCTGTGAGGCACACACAGAGCAAAACCCCCTCTGCCCGTTCCGATGGGCCATGGTCGCTTTCATGTTACTTAGAGCCATCCTGTCCTTGATACCGGGTTGCAAAAACATTTGGCAAAATTCGACACCTGAAGCGGAAGCAGGTGCAGAGAAATCGAGGCAAGTCGGTCAAATCAGAATCACACAAAATGTGGTGGAAACAGAAGCTAGCCTTTTAGAAATAGTCGAAGAGCTAAAGGCAAAACTGCACTTCGAGCGTCTGAAGAACAACATGTTATGGGGACAAGAGAGGGAACGCCGTATCTCTCAAGAAAATACAGACAGAATACAGAGGCGGCTTATATGCGTACTGAAACGCCGAGAGCTGCAGTGGCAAGAGTCTATGCGGGAAGCGAGAGAAAAACTCGCAGCATTCGAAACCCCATCCTTGGACATGAGCCCAACACCACTCACATCGGCAGAGAATATCACCACAAGGACAGGGGACCAAAACAGGATCTTTATGCCGACAGTGCTATTAAACCGTTGTGAGCCAAGGATTCGCCTGTCTCATTGCCACGATCCATTGTTCAATCACCCAGAGCATGTTGTTGTCGATGGAGAGAACGTAATACTCTCTGGGGGCAAGGCCAACAAAGATAATAATATCTTATCCCTGGTCAACCACTACCAAATGAAAAAGCAATATCCTCTTGTCGTGTTAATGCATTTCAGGGTGAACAAGAGGAATAACAAGGATGGTAAATGGGGGATTGCAGAAAAGCTGAGTAGCTCTCTGAACGGAAATTGGCAGGTAATTCCTGTTCCGATCAACGCAGATGACGACATGTACGCCATTAATCTAGCCAAGAACATCGATGCGATCATAGTTTCAAATGACAAGTTCAGGAAGCAAATAAGTGAACAAGAAACTCCAGAGAAGCAAGAGGAATTGGCAAAGTTCGTGAAAGAGAAAAGGGTACGGTACACGTTCAAGAAAGGGAAGTATTACCCCTATTGAAAGCAACAGCGCTACCCGCCTTGTGTTCTACAAGAAGATCTCTTTCGCGTCAAAGCAGGTCAAGAGTTTGTACCTCTCCCAAGCTGTAAACTGTGCTGTACTTCTTCCAATGCAGCATGGGGCTAAACAAGAAGAATAGAAAAGAAACGCGTAGATACGGCCGCACCCGCCCGCAAGTAGAAATGATCCAACTGCTTTCGTTTGCTCATCTCATTTTGCTTCTCAGTAGATAGATTATACTGACCCTTCGTCGCGATCTCAGCTTGACTATCTTTTGTCGCATGATATCTGTAGACTATACAGGACAACATTGTTTGTGCTGACGTTTCAGCTGCGTGGAGAACAGGTATTGAAACCCCATTTTCTTGGCATGTCCTGTTTATGAACATTCCATGAGGCGGCGTCGCAAAACTGAATGCATCGCAACTCGATTCGCAGATGGTACGCTCTTTGCTGAATAGTGTATCAGCTTTGTGAAATATCAACATGCGCGTCTGCTTTGCCATCACTAGCAAATACTGTATCCAACGAGATAGAAGCGGAAAGTTTGTCGCTGAAATGGTGAGTTTATAGAATCTCCAAACGCAGTGTACCTGCGGTGGATGCAAATCTTCGGATTACGCATGATAAATCAGCTGCATCGTCTTATCCATTTAGTATATAGCTGTGATGCAGGCCTGTCTCCGGAAAATTTGATTCGCGAAACACAGTGTGATAGAACAACGTAGGATGGCTGAGATCGAGAACGGCTTTACTTTTCCAAGTTGAATGATGTGTACAAGAAGATATCAAGAAAGGGGGTGGGACCCCGTCTAGACAAGCTGGGCGAGAGGTGTCATCAAAGGGTGTTTTTCAATGAGTGTTTAGAAAATAGGCAGTTTGCCCTCCTGCGAGACAAGAGGGCAAACTGCCTACTGGAGCTGTTGCAGGAGAGGTATTAAAAATACTTGCTTGTGCCTCTCTCGGAATGATGCAGGATGAAGTTGGAATATGTGGGTGCGTTGCTCGGTTGCTCTCTCTCACAGCAAATAGGGATTTTGGTGTGAGAAGGGCGGGTTCGATGGGATTTTTTGAGATTTCCTGGACAAGTGTCAGTTTCCTGATTGTCCGTTAGGCGTATTCATCACGGCGCTCCTTTTAAGGTCCACTGGAGACAGACGATGTAGAGAGGTTTGCCCTTGCATATATCTCGAAGGGTTGTCATCCGCCAACTGGAAACAGAATATTTGGTGGCATGTACCGTACATTCTGAAGATATTGCAGCTGCTGGTTGCGGTGCAAGGTACACGACTCTATCGTAGAACTAAATCTTGAAGAAGTGACTGTGAGAACAATAGTATGAGTTAAGTCGATGAAAAGACATGGAACAGGGCGGAAAATGCTGTGGTTTCTAATGTCTAGCAACTTGAACGCTCTTGCGGGGATATAACAGGAAGACTTGGTACTGCACTGTAGACATTTAGGGCTGAATGATAGAAAGATGAATATAAAAGGTGGAGGTGTTTTGCGCGGTGCAAGACGAAAGATTGGTTGTTGGGCACCTGAGCGTAGTGCGAAGAGAGGGAATGGTTTCCAGTGAGGGAATGTGTGGGTAAAGAGGCCACAGGATGTGAAAAGGGAATGCAACAAACTTCAGACGAGCACAGCAGAGTGAAACGAGATGGTGCTGTACGGAAACATGACTTTGATTGTTTGTTGTTGGTGTTGCTTCTCAATACTGTGGTAGTGGGGGCAAGGAAAGGTAGATGTGGAAGTGGTACAGTGAGGGGCACTATGGCACAGTGTTGCATGGTGATAAAGTTTGTGTTTTTCGCGACACTGCGGATGCGATTCAGTCGCGAATGCGATTCAGTCGCGAATGCGATTCAGTCGCGAATGCCTTCCACACAGGCGCGCGCCCAGAAAGCGCAGTTGAAGCAAGGGACGACGTGTCATGCGGCAGAATCAGGGCAGGGAAGCGGAACAAGTGAATGTTGAATGAGAGCAGAGGGGCCCATGCCTGGCACACGAGCGCCCGACGGTGGGACACGCCCCCCCAGATACTGCACAGATCTGCTCTTCTATTTTGTATTACAGCAAGGTCTCTAAATAGGTTTCAATTAAAAAGTAGAGTACTGTACAGTATCATGAATGAAAACTGTATAGAAATAAAAACTTTTTTAAAAGCATCTATTTTTCTTCTTTCCATAACAATAGAAAAGTAAACTTTATTCTAAGCATACGATGCGCAGACCATGAGAGAGAGAGAAGCCCGATCTGCCGCAGGCCGGGGAGCTCCGCGGCGTGGGAAGAGAGAGAAGGCCGACCTGCCGCGACTCGCGCCATCGGTCTAGGCGGGCGGACCGTGGGCGCGGCGCCCTGCGACACTGCGGCGTGTCGCCGGGGGCGTGGCGGGGGCAACAAGGCGCGCGGCGCCAGCGACGCATCGGGGCGCGGGGCGCGCCCCCTGGTTCCAAAAGAAAAGC